TTTTCTACATGCGAGTGTCCCAACGAGTCATGTCATAAAGGCAGTTAATTAGTTAGCTGTGGCTCGTACTCACCAACAAAACACTGTGAAGGCATTGGGCTGAATTATGCAAGTGTCAGCGATTTGTTCATCAAGCAACACAGTCAAACATAACAAATGAGAAGTTACAGTATGTGATAAATGTTTAAAGAAGCTTCACACTGTCAGCTCTAGGTCAGTGGAGCAAGCAACAGTTCAGTCAGATTTTCTATATGTGAATCCTTTTCTCAATGAACTTCCTTCATTTCTTCCCTTTTTCCATTAGACACACTGCAATTTAACCACAATATATTTTCACACAAGTCATAATAGACAAAAAAAAAACAAAACTGCAATTTAACCACAATATATTTTCACACAAGTCATAATAGACAAAAAAAAAACTGCAATTTAACCACAATATATGTTCACACAAGTCATAATAGACAAAAAAAGGATGTTGAAAACTGTTTTTATGTAAGCACCACACATTTGATGTAGTCAAACTAAAACGTGCCGCAGTCACAATGGGCTAACACACTACAACAATGCTGATTAAATGTGCAGTGTGCAGAAAAACCTTTATCTTCTCATCAAAAAAGGTCGATCTGGGATTTAGAGTGAGGTGCATCTATGAGATACTGCTGCTTTGTGGAAATGCAAGTGAAAACGTTTTACTTTTCCTTCCGTTTTGACTTTTGAGTGCCACTCTACTGAGCCGCAATCAGATTTAGGCATATACTGCAGGTCAGAAAACCCATTCTGAACCAACACCAGTTAATAATATACCTTGTTAAACTGTGCTCGAGTGTGTGGATGTGTCTGTCTATTCTTATTACCAAGCTCCCACATTCAAGTGCACGTGGGGTCAAAAAGTTAAAGAGATAGGTGGCAGGTTGAAACTTAGGAAACAAGGAACACAAATGACTATAAAAACAATATAACCACAAATTTTATGACTTGAAAACATCATAACGTCTCTTACTCATACTGCCATAATCCTGTGATAGCCTTATGAAGATTTATATCCATGTAAGTGCCAACACTTGCTTTGCTTGCTTACATATTAACCCTGTGTTGGCTAGTTGGTGACCTCTGTGTGGAAACTGCATGGGTCGCTCCTTATGACTTGGACGCCATCTGCTGGTTCAGAAATATCTCTGAACAGACCATATAACACAAAGAGTGGGTGCAGTTAAGCACAGCTTGAGCCAAGGTGTTCAAAGGCAGATGGGAAGGAGAGGAAAACTAATTTAAATGACTTGCAATATAGTTGTCCCCTTACAAAATGTGGAGAAAGTATAGTATGTACAAAGACTTATGGGAAATGTGGTTTGAATTCTGAGAGTAAACTGCTCTGAATATATAAAGGTGTCACAGTAATACTGTATTTAAATTCTGCATTCTCCTTTAATAAACTTGAATCTAGTATGTATCATCATCCATTTTGACACTTCAAATAAATTCTATGATCAGGTCTCTTCTATTCCTCTCATGTTTTTGTAGCCTTGTAATAAAACAAAATATAATAATAAACTATTTCTGGTCAGTGTTACTGAGCTTCTTTATAAGATTCATTTTTACAGTGAGGAACTAAAGTGTTTTTCTCAGTAGAAGAAACTTGCAACCTCAGAGCAGACCCTCTGATGTGGATATATTTGTACTCTTGTTCAAGATGCTATAAGTTTCTGGTTCAATTTCAAAAGCTCATTACTCCTTGAAAACACACACACACACACACACACACACACACACACAGCATCTCATAGAGGCTGCTTTTTTCAGATGTCAGTGAGTTTGTACCAGTACCATCAGAGACATCTGCCTTGGAACTTCTCACATGGATTAATTTAAACTCAAACTGATTCAACTAGGGGTCACCACAGCGAATCATCAGTTGCCACCCAACTAACTATTCACATGTTAAACGTGGCATGTTTTACAATGGATGCCCTTCCGCATGAAGTCTAATTTACAGTGCATCCAGAAAGTATTCACAGCGCTTAACTTTTTCCACATTTTGTAATTTTACAGCCTTATTCCAAAATGGATTAAATTCATTATTCTACAAACAAAACCCCATAATGACAAGGTGAAAAAAGTTAGTTTGAAATCTTTGCAAATTTATTAAAAATAAAAAATTAAAAGAAAAAAAAAATCACATGTACATAAGTATTCAAAGCCTTTGCCATGACACTCAAAATTGAGCTCTGGTGCATCTTGTTTCCACTGATCATACTTGAGATGTTTTTACAACTTCACTGGAGTCCACTGGGAAATTCAGTTGATTGGACATGATTTGGAAAGACATACACCTGTCTATATAAGGTCCCACATTTAACAGTGCATGTCAGAGCACAAGCCAAGCCATGAAGTCCAAGGAATTGTCTGCAGATCTCAGACAGGATTATATCAAGGCACAGATCTGGGGAAAGGTACAGAAATGTTTCTGCAGCATTGAAGGTCCTAATGAGCACAGTGGCCTCCATCACCGTAAATGGAAGAAGTTTGGAACCACCAGGACTCCTCCTAGAGCGGGCCGCCCGGCCAAACTGAGCGAGAGAGAAAGGCCTTAGTCAAGGAGGTGACCAAAAACCCAATGGTCACTCTGAAAGAGCTCCAGCATTTCTCTGTGGAGAGAGGAGAAGCTTCCAGAAGAACAGCTATCTCTGCAGCGCTCCACCAATCAGGCCTGTATGGTAGAGTGGCCAAATGGAAACCATTCCTCAGTAAAAGGCACATGGCAGCCCACCTGAAGTTTGCCAAAAGGCACCTGAAGGGCTCTGAGACCATGAGAAACAAAACTCTCTGGTCTGATAAAACAAAGATTGAACTTATGTCTGGAGGAAACCAGGAACCGCTCACCACCTGGCCAATACCATCCCTACAGTGAAGCATGGTGGTGGCAGCATCATGCTGTGGGGATGTTTTTCAGCGGCAGGAACTGGGAGACTAGTTAGGATCGAGGAAAAGATGACTGCAGCAATATACAGACACATCCTTGATGAAAACCTGTTCCAGAGCGCTCTGGACCACAGACTGGGGCAACAGTTCATCTTTCAACAGGACAACTAAGCATACAGCCAAGATAACAAAGGAGTGGCTACAGGACAACTCTGTGGATGTCCTTGAGTGGCCCAGCCAGAGCCCAGGCTTTAACCCGATTGAACATCTCTGGAGAGATCTGAAAATGGCTGTGCACCGACGCTCCCCATCCAACCTGATGGAGCTTGAGGGGTACTGCAAAGAAGAATGGGAGAAACTGCCCAAAAATAGGTGTGCCAGGCATGTAGCATCATACTCAAAAAGACTTGAGGCTGTAATTGGTGCTAAAGGTGCTCCAACAAAGTATTAAGCAAAAGCTGTGAATACTTATATACAGGTGCATCTCAATAAATGAGAATATCATGGAAAAGTCCATTTATTTCAGTAATTCAACTCAAATAGTGAAACTCGTATATTATATAAATTCAGTACACACAGACTGAAGTAGTTTAAGC